TGATGGAGGGGGCATGGGAGTTTGCCCAACCAATCCACATGTGTTTTGTGGATTTGGAGAAGGCTTATGACCGTGTCCCCAGGGGCACCCTGTGGGGGACGCTCCAGGAGTATGGGGTGGGTGGCTTTCTGTTAAGGGCCATTCAGTCCCTTTACCAGAGGAGCGTGAGTTTGGTCCGCATAGCCGGTAGTAAGTTGGACCTGTTCCCGGTGAGGGTTGGACTCCGCCAGGGCTGCTCTTTGTCACCGGTTCTGTTCATTACCTTTATGGACAGAATTTCTAGGTGCAGCCGTGGTTTGGAATGTGTCGAGTTTGGTGGCAGGAGAATCTCGTCTCTGCTTTTTGTGGATGATATGTTCCTCCTAGCTTCATCCAGCTTTGACCTTCAGCTCTTGCTGGGTAGGTTCGTGGCCGAGTGTGAAGCGGCTGGGATGAGGATCAGCACCTCCAAATCTGAGACCATGGTTCTCGACCAGAAAAGGGTGGCTTCCCATCTCCGGGTCGGGGGAGAGGTCCTACCTCAAGTGGAGGAGTTTAAGCATCTCGGGGTCTTGTTCACGAGTGAGGGTAGGAGGGATCGGGAGATCGACAGGCGGATTGGTTCAGCATCTGCAGTGATGCGGACGCTGAGCCGATCTGTCGTGGTGAAGAGGGAGCTGAGCCAGAAAGCCAGCTCGATTTACCGGTCGATCTACGTCCCAATCCTCGCCTATGGTCATCAACTTTGGGTAATGACCGAAAGAACGAGATCACGGATACAAGCGGCCGAAATGAGTTTCCTCCCTAGGGTGGCCGGGCTCAGCCTTAGAGCTAGGGTGAGGAGCTCGGACATTCGGGAGGGACTCGGACTAGAACCGCTGCTCCTCCGGATCGAAAGGAGCCAGTTGAGGTGGTTTGGGCATCTGGTAAGGATGCCTCCTGGACGCCTCCCCGGGGAGGTGTTTCGGGCATGTCCTGCCGGCAGGAGGCCCCCGGGTCGACCCAGGAGACGTTGGAGAGATTACATCTCCAATCTGGTCCGGGAACGCCTTGGGGTCCTGCCGGAGGAGCTGGTGGAGGTGGCCGGGGAGAAGACGGTCTGGAGCTCCCTAGTTGGGATGCTGCCCCCGCGACCCGGACCCGGATAAGTGGAGGAAGACGACGACGATATAACATTTGTTCATTCAACCATATGTTTATTTAATGATTATTTAACTTATGAGCTGTAGAAGTTCATCTTTCATGAGAGTGTGCAATCCTGCAGTCTTATCAAAACAAGGCTTTGTTTGGGAGCATAGGCTGACATCTTGTTACTCCTGAAATGTCAACAAGGACAGCAGAATCTTCTGGGCTTTAGGTGACAGAATAGAAACTCCACTCAGATAGTGGAATTATGTCTGTAGATGACCAGACATTGTGTAGGTCAATATGTAGGTGAAAATTCACCCTTTTTGGATGTTACAACAGGATTTTAGGACCATCCATCCATGCTCGGCTGCTTATCCGGGATTGGGTCGCGGGAGGCAGTCGCCTAAGCAGGGAGGGAGATTTTAGGACATTAGATTAATTTAGATTTATTTTATCTTTAAAAAAAAAACCTCAAGTCATCCTATTCATGGAAACTTGATAGTTTCTTTGGGCCTCTTGCACCATTTGCCAGTCATTTGTAAGAAACCCTTATTGCAACTTTTAATACTTCCTTTTTAAAATTTGAATCGTCATGCTTTCATCACAACATCCACTGATTACTGTAATTTACTCTATACATGTTTAGATCAGTCATATTTTATTCTGCTGCCCGTCTTCTAACGGGACCATACAACTTCCTGTAATTTATAGAAATGATATGATCTTGATATTAGCGTTTACCAATGATGCTTGATATTTTTATATTTCTACTGATGTATTCTGATCTTTATTTCAGACATTGATTTAAAGGTGGTAGTCGGAGGGACCGTGGCACTAGTGTTTGGCAGCCTCGCTTCCGTCAGTGCGCCCCAGGGCAGCTGTGGCTACATTGTAGCTCAACATCACCGAATGTGTGTGTGTACATGGGTGAATTATTGCATGTGTTGTGAAGTGCCCTGGGGGGTTAGAACCCTAGAAGATGCTATATCAAATACATTTACCATTCACTGTTTACACCAATGCCAATATGTGTGGAGTCCCATCACCTTTTCAATGGAAAAACTATATTTTAAGTTAGGTCCATTGTGCCAGACAAACAAGATTATCTTAAAAACTAGATCTCACCTGTGTCATTTTATGTCATTTTGAGTGAGAGGAGAATTAGCTGAAGAGTTTGATGTAGAACATGTGCATGGTGCAAAAAGTTGTGTCGTTTAAAGAGTAAAACCTTGTAATATAAATATTGATCGATAATATTAGACATCATTAGCATTTATCATTGTTTATGGTCTTGTTCAATCAGCAACCCATCTAGAACACCATCTAGAAGTTTGATGCTCTTGAATGTCCCCAATGCATTATTACTACTCTGTTTTTTTATTTAGCAGGAAAAATAGTTCTGAAGCTAGCTGGCTAGCTAGCTAGCTGTAGCACTTTCAGCTCAATAGGGTCGGCTCATGGGTCCCCGGAAGAACGGAAAAATGAATGCAAGTCAATGGGGAAAAAAAACGCTATTTTCTAATCCGCTTTGCCTCAGACCCTGGATCACACATATGTTGTACTGCAATTTAAATTAAATGTAACGATGGCTGTTTTGATGACACCAGTCACATACTTTGAGATTTATCAGCTTGTAAAAGTTCGTAATTAGCATGACTACACACCAGAAATCGGCAATGTGACGTCACCACATAATCACCTCGTGGCTGCTACTTACCACCTGGCCAGATTTGTGATGGTTCTTTCCTCCTGTGGCAAGGAGTTGAAGTTTGCTAAACTTACAGCCATTTCTCCTCTGTTTTCTCCGTGTCTGGTTTGATGACGTCACTTTTGTGAAGCACGTTTGTAGTCCTGGACTTATTTTCATTCAAAACCTGAAATAGTGTTTCCCCTTGTTTGAAAACAACCGCTTCCTTTATGTCAAAATGCTTCTTTAAAATGCACAAATATCGGATGTGAAATCCATGGCACAAAACAAGCGGAATTAGAAAATGGCCTTAGCCCCGTTGACTTATTTTTCGTTCTTCCGGGGACCCGTGGTCCGGAAGTAGATGGGCGTGACTTAGGCTCCCCATATGTGATGCTTCTAGTCATGAATTTGACTTAGATTAGCACTACCCATCCAACACTCCAACATTATGTGTGCGTCACGTTTTCTGTTTGTGTCAGCGGGTAGGCGAGGTGCATGTGTGTTGGCCTCATCAGGGAAGATGAGACACAATAAATGCAGAGGAGGAAAAGTGTCAGGGTTAAAGTTTATTTTATATAACAACACCTCACAGCGGGATTGAAACTGGACCAACACACACAGATTCTGCGATGTGAGAGATTCACTTCTCTTGTTGTTTTTCCTGCTTCTGCTTTTCCGAAGCCTGGTTTCGCTGCTGCACATTAGCAGAGGTGAGATGGAGGGAAAGGGGGGGGGTTACTAAAAAGTTGTTTGACTCGAGTTCAAAGCAGCTTTTCTGACCCTGACTGACAAGATAATAGAAGGGGAGGATGTGAGGATTTAGCAAGTCAGAACTGCGGTACGTTTGTACCGTCCCCCCAGAATATAATCGTTCCACTTTGAGGTTTCTCTTCCCGCCAAAAATTCTGTACGGTTGATTTTATTTAATTCTGCCTGCAGAGAACAAACAAGCACATGCAGAGCTATCTGGCTAATAATCTGTGATCCGATAACGTGAGATAAAAATAGCTGCTGCAGTCAAATTTTAGTTAAAGTATCATTTTCATGTGTGCCGCCACTAGAAACTTGGAGCAAAAACTTGATGTTTTTTTCTCCCCTTTTAAAAATGTCTGTAGAAAATGATTCATCATATGAATATTACAGACAGATCCACTTTGTCTTCCTTTCATCAGTTTTCTTGTGCATCAGCAGTCAAACCTGATGATTGCTTTTATTTGGATAAACAAAATAAATGTATTATTGAACTTGCTAAGCCTCACACTACATTATAAAAATCTTCAACCAAGGTGGCTCGAGGCTGGTAATAGAAAAAAAAATTAGGTCGTGTTTGCAAGGATCGTTTAATTGAGTTTCAGGCAGTAAATTATCCTCCAAGGCTTCTTTCATCTTGCTTGTGCACACGTTTCTTTGTCTGAAGAAAGACGAGGGGTCTTTTCCCAGAAAGGCTTCCTGCACATGCCTCTGCATGTCTGTGGGTATCGCATATCGAGGTAGAACTGGGTAGAACACCCCCCAAGCTTCAGAAACAACACAATGTGTTCATCAGTTTGTGTATTTCTGAGTTGTCTGGATGTGATTCAACGGTTAGAATGACTACTTTCTTAGATTTTACACTCTAAAGATAAAACATGAATTTACTTGATCCAAATTAACTTACTTAAATCTAAAGATTGATCTACAGTGCTTTATGTTGGTAAAAGTAAATGTATACTACACTTTACATTTAGCCAACTAGGTTCAGGGGAACCAGTTGACATGGGAGTGGTTCACTGAAAACACTTTTTTAATCATTATTTCTGAATATAATCGTTTACCCTATTTCATGCAGGCTGAACATAAAAAATAGTCTCCTGCATCTGTCTTCCTCATTATCTTCTGACAGAAAATATACAGTGAAACTCTAGGATTAGAAAAGCCTGGCGGGATCTACGTCACACTGTCACTTAACATTCATGGACTCGACCCAGAGTACAAGGCACTCATTCCTTCCAGAGACCACTGCAAATGTATTGATCGAACCACATATTTAAGTAAATTCAACATTAATTTTCTTAGAGTATATACATTTTCCATCTTCATACCCTGCAGTGGTTTCAGAAACCCCGTTATCTTTTCATCTCTTTGTGCATCTGACAACTTAAATAACCTAATAATCATAAGAAACCTGTTGAAACACCTCCCTTCTTTTTCTTCTTGTCTTAAGGACAAACCGACACCAACCTTTGAGCCTGTGAGGACGATGGAGTCGGCTGAAGATCATTACACTCATGTGGAGAACACAGTGATGCTAAAGCTCAGTCACAGGTAACCACGAGTACTTTAATTGTCTCAAAAATTTAGAACGACTTTGTACTTAAAAAAAAAACCCAAAAGCATTCAGTGACTGGAGCCCACTCTGAGAGGCTAGTGTGGGTTTGATGACGTGTGATTCACAGAGAACAAACTCATCTGACAGGGGCTTACTCAAGCAAAGCTGAAATAGCACAAAGCACTCAGAGAATCGGTCTGAAAAAATTATTCTCTTAATCATGGACGTAAATTTTTTTTTGGGGGGGGGAGCAGGGGGGACATGTCCCCCCCCACTTTTTACAAAGTCAAGTTTTGACCCCTGCACTTTTTGCCATCTCAAAACAATATTACGCTATATTAAAGTGACACTGGTTGAGCTCTAGGACCAAGCAGAAAACAACTGTTTGTGTTGAAGCCTGTTTCCCATTAGAGCATACTGTAAAGATCCCCCCCCCCCCCCCCACACACACACACATCTAAAGTGAAAATTACGTCCATGCTCTTAATATTTGGTAATCTCAGAAATCTGACTTTAATCTCAGAATTCCGTCTTTAATCTCAAAATTTTGACTTTAATCCCAGAATTCCAACTTTAATATCAGAATTCTGACTTTTTTCTCAGAATTCTGAGTTTAATCTCAAAATTCTAACTTTAAACTTTGACACACAAACATTTCAACCTAAATCAGACACCAGTACCTTTGTTCATCTTCTCCTTGCCCCACAGTTGAATCATGGGAAACGTAGAGAGCCAGATTGGTGACAGCGGTTCCCATGGAAATGGGATGGGACATCTCTCTCGCAAGTACAAGTCCCACTCGCTCCGCCTTACCAGCAAACAGCTGGTCACCCGCCGTCCGAGGCACTTCTCATCAGGGAAACAGAAGCACAGGAACTCCGAGACCTCCACCCGCTCCTCCAGCACACCCAGCATTCCACAGTCCTTAGCGGAGAACGGGCTGGAACTTTTCAATGCAGGAGATGAGCTGGGAGAATTCAACCTCAACCCTCACTGGACGCAACGCGTCGCCATGACGATGATGCCAGAATCCTACCAGCAGGAGGAGGAACCCCTGGCCACGCCGACGCCTGAAACTTCCGAGGCGGACACTCTGGCTCAGGATGGAGATGACTCAATGGGGGAGGAGGACATCTTGGAGAAAGGAAGTTACGTGCAGCGGATGACTGAAGACTCTCCGGATGGAGGCAGTTTTAGAAAGAAGAGGTCAAAGTCGGCGGACATGTGGAGGGATGACAGTCTGGAGTTCTCTCTGTATGACTTGAGTCAGGACAATCTGACCAGCACTGAGGAGATGATCGATGGAGGAGAGGAAGAAGAGGAGGAGCAGCTAATGGGTCCTACAGGCAGCACAGGTGAGGACACAAGTTTTGGCACAAACTGACATCATTGATTTTTTTGTACAGGTAAGGAGCGGGAGGGTGGAGGGAGGAGTGGGAGGGTGGAGGGAGAGATCTCAACCTTTTCCTGATGTATGATGAGAAACTGGGCTGATTAAAGACCGAGTTCTGTCGTCCAGATGGTCACAGCCTTGTTAGCTTAAGTGGTGCTCTACAGGAGGTCAGCATGGCAGTAGGCAGCGCTGCTAAACTAACTGATGAAGGTTCGAGTGCTGCTGTACCTGACGAAGACCAGATTAATGAGTCGTTCTGCTGCAAGCACACACATTTTATGTAGACACACTGTCCTCTAAAAGCTGCTGTGTGTTCCAGGTTCTGCTGAAAGGGCGTCGTCTCTGGACCACCTGTGCAGCCCACAGAGTCCCGGCCTTCGAGGGCAGAAGAGCCGTCCCGTAAAAAACCGCAGAGAGGCTGAGCGAAATGGGAAAGGAGATGGGGAGAGCGAGCTGATGTCTCCAAACGAGGACGGCGGCGGCTACGTAGCTTTCACGCTCCCGTGTCGGCGCTCTCACTGCCTCTCAGAGGGGTTGTCGGGGCTGGGGATGCCCACTGCTCCGTGTCCGGCTTTCCAGGGACGCCGAGCACAGACCACTCAGGTTTAAACATGCAGAGCTTTCTGTTCTGCTGCTCTCTTTTTGAACTTCAGATCTCTCTTGGGAGGAATCAGCAGTTGATCTAGTTTTTTCTCAGCCAGACATTTTTGGAAATTACCCAGACCTGCTAGATGCATGCAGCTGCAGCTGTAGAATATAAGACACAGTGCATCATTGCTTAGAAGATTTTCTTGTTTTAGCTAATTTACCAATGCGTTAGAGAAGATGCAACTGATAGATAGCTAATTATTGTGTTCACGTGTCACAAAAAAAGTGAAAGATGTGTTTTGCTCAGCTAGTTCCTACAAGAGCTTATTTTGACATAGTCTATTGAGGTTTTTTAAGATACAAGTAGACTAAAAATGCAGCAAAACAAAGGGAAAAGGGGGCCGATGGACCATTTTCTCAACAGGATGGAGAACTTCCAGCTCAATGAGATTTTTTTTATTATGGAAAAACATGCACAGACTGATTGGATGCACTCAGGCTTCCTGCAACACGCACTGAATTTATGTATAAATGTGAGCCCAGAAACATCTCGTGTAGTTTGACTTTCCAGTCATGCAAGTGTCTTTCCATATAATCTCCTTGCAAATCAGCCCTGTTTTTACTCTCCGCTTCTGTCTAACAGGACATCTCGGGTGTCCTGGGCGAGGGAAGTGAGTATGGCGACAGCGGGATTGATGGCGTTGCCACGGAGACCGATGCAGACGGAGACCTAGCCTCCCGGCGGTGTAAGGCCATGTCGGCCTCATTCTCGGTCTACTCGACCACGGAGAGCAGCATTTTTAATGGGAGCGACAGCGGGAGCAGCAGTGCGGGCGGAGGAGAAGGAAGAGCAGGAGACAGAGGCAGGGGGGGCGTGTACGAGAACTTTAGAAAGGAGCTGGATGGTGAAGCTTGGGTTCGTTTACATTTGTGTGTTTTGGGAGCAGTCCTCTTTTATCATAAATTAGCAGATTCGTTTTTTATTTTTGCTTTCTTTCTCTGCCTCTTCAGACGAATCAGAGGCGAGACTGCAGGGAGGAGGCAGGATCTGCTGTCAGCGATGAGCAGAGCAGCGGGACGCTCAGCAGTGCTTGTCCTGCCGAGTCTGTGCTTGACTGTGCACAGGGCACTGTAAGGAAAGCTGGGGCTTTGTCTGTCAAGAACTTCCTGGTTCATAAGAAAAACAAGAAGGTGGAACTTGCAACAAAGCGAAAGTGGAAGCACTACTGGGTGTCTCTAAAAGGTGCTTCACCCACGCATCTCATGTTTCCACCCATAATCCATCCATGCTTATCAGGCGCGAAACTTGCATGATTTTATGCACATTAGTGTCTGTTTTCCGTTGTGTCTCTTCTCATGTCAAAGTTTAAAACAAAGTTTTGAAACGTGATCAGTCACTTTGATATTTTTTCATGCAGGCTGAACAAGAAAATGCTTTCACTCCTGTTTCCTGCTTTAGCCACAGAAATAAATTAGACGGGGAAACGCTTGGGTCAGAAAAGGCCACTCAGATCGACGTCACGCTGAAAATTAGCATTCATGGTCTCACCAGTCTTGTCTCAGGACCTGGGAAGGCTGTCTTGATTTAGCGTCCAGGAGAGAAAAGAGCATGTCTCGTCTAGTAGAAGCTAACCGTTAGCATTAGCAACTTCACCCCACGACAGAACTCCTCCAGGCTTGTGTTATTTGTGGAAAGTGAACACAGACCGCGGAAGAATTGCGTTGCTGTTAGCCAATCAGAGGCGGGATGTTCGAACATCATGAATATTAATGAGTAAAACTCCAAAGCCGTCCGTTTTCTGCTCCCCACTTCTCTGGCTAACGTCGACTTCCTGAAACAGCAGCGCCAGAGCTTTTTTTTTTCTCAGGAGAAGGCTCACAAGGGTTTCATTTATACTGGAGACCACAGCAGATTTATTGAAATGTCGAGTGTATGCTCACTTTAAAAGATCATTTTATGATCAAAAATCAAAGCAACGTCATGTGCAATGTCCTGCACTATCGCAAAGTCTTGTGAGACCCGATCGCCATCTGAGTCTGTGATTGTGAATCTTCTAAACCACCATCACACAAAACATTAGCTTAGCCTTCTGAGGCCCTGCGTGCACAAATGAAGGTGTTGGCTTCTTGCACTAACTTAGACCTTTTTTGTATTATTATTTAGAGACACTTGATATAGACTTTAATTTAAAAATGTTCTCCTTTAATTTCTATTTTTTAGGGAATTAGCCAACATTTTTATTTGATTTTTTTTACATCGTACCAAACACAAATTTGGGTCTCAGAAGGTTAATATCTGTAAAACTGACTGTTTAGTAGCATTTTAGTGTTTTGTAAGTAGTAAGTCTGTATGGTGGCCATCTTTAAACCAGTTGTGTCAAAACGTAGATCCAGTCATTTTTTTATGAGTAAAATCCATTCAGGGTATTTTGCAAACACACAGATAAATGGTGCAAGTGAAAAAACAGCCTATAATAACCGAAGTCCTGCAGCCGTAACGTCTCACACAGAAAAGCATCTGAACCCGACCTCTGTCCGTTTAATCTTCCGTTTTCTCTCTCCTGAGAGGCTGTAATCACATCCAGCCAAACGCCGTCAGTGACCTTGGTCGTCACCTTTCCTGTGTTTGCTCCCGCTCCTCCGTATGCATTACCTCGGCTCACACTCATCACAATTTAATTTTACGCCAGGCTCCACGTCTAATCCAATCTGCTCCTTTTAAAAATGTGTAAGATGCACCCATCGTTTGTATCCATCTCCTAAAAATAGATAAACCTAACCGAACCCCCTGACCTTGAGTTGAAATTTGGACCAAGATGACCTTGTTTAGATGGAAATGACAACTCTAGCCCCCATTTAAGTGTTTTTCTCTGTGTCTTCTTTAGGTTGCACTCTTTACCTGTATGATTCAGACAGTCGGTCTGGCATTGATCAGAACAGCATCCATAAACACGCAGTGTGGGTGGAGAACAGCATCGTCCAGGCCGTACCTGAACATCCAAAGAAAGACTTTGTCTTCTGCCTCAGCAACTCAGCAGGGGACGCTTTCTTGTTCCAGGTGATAAAACCAAACTCACGCAGGAATACCCAGATGGACAGAAGAGTGACTACTTCCTGTGGGGCTCTTTTGTGTGTGTGTATGTTTGACACATGAATACATGACCTTTAGCGACGACTGGGAGATACGACAGTCCCGTGTCCGTGTGTTTGTTTTATGTCTGACATGTTTAAAGGCCACCCTGTCACACTGTCACCGTGATTCACAGCAGTAGCCATTGTGTGTGTCGAGCTTCAGCCATTTATATTCATGACAGCTCTCCGTTTCATGAATAGGAAGATAATAACCCAGCAGTGAGATTTACGTGTCAACCTTATCTGAGGCAACTTTAGTAGGACCTAAAATCCAGTTTCTTCACTCCGCCTCTGTTTTCTGTTTTTTTGCTAGACGTCAGGCCAAACTGAGCTGGAGAACTGGATCACAGCGATCCACTCTGCTTGCGCCACTGCCCTCGCCCGACATCACCACAGGGAGGACTCGGTGCGGCTGCTGAGAACGGAGGTGCGCAAGCTGGAGCAGAAGATTGACATGGATGAGAAGATGAAGAAGATGGGAGACATGCAGCTGACCACAATCACCGACGCCAAGAAAAGGAAGACCATACTAGAGCAGGTACACAAAGGATGATCGTCACGGTGTCTGATAGAAATTGTTTAAAAAGATTAACTAAAGCAGAAGTAGAAGGATATTGAAAAAAAAATCATCACCTGAAAGCTTTTCTTGTTTCTTCATATCACTGAATACACAGTTGGAAAATCAGTCTGATGTTGATGTAAATAAAGTTTTGGATCATGTTGCATTTAAAAATGTTGAAACACCTGAAGGACTTTAAATCTGGAAACATTTTACATTCCTTTGAAGTGCTCTGAAGTCATAGGCGCTGCGCGCCGATAGGCAAAGCAGGTGACTTGGCTTGTTGTCCTCAGGCCACAAAGGGCCACCAGAGGGCTGACAAACTGTGAATGCGTCAGCTCAAATTGTCAATTGGCAGCTCTGCTGGCCATCCCGCAGCCCCTGCCTGGGCCCTATCCAGTTGGTTGCTCTTCCCTGACTGGGCTCTCAGTTCAATTCAGTTGAGTCGCTTCAAAGGACCACACAAAGCAAACATTCCAATTGAGTACAGTTAATTATGCTAATTAGTCAAAAGTTTCCTATGTAAGGAACCCAGCAGAATGCATCGAGTCACTGACTCTCCCATGACATTGCGCTCTCCTGACAGACCCCTTCCCCGATGGGGGCCCTTCCCAGATTGGGGCCCTCACTTGACGTGGCCCTCCCCTTATGGGGTCCTTCTCTTTACTGGGCCTTCTTCTGATTGGGGTCCTCTCCTGACCATGCACTCTCCTGATTGGGGCCCTTCCATGATGGGGACCCTCTCTTGACTGGGCCTTCTCCTGATTAGGGCCCGTCTCTGATGGGAACCCTCTCCTGATTGGGGCCCTTCCATGATGGGGACCCTCTCTTGACTGGGCCTTCTCTTGATTGGGGCCCTTCCATGATGGGGACCCTCTCTTGACTGGGCCTTCTCCTGATTAGGGCCCTTCTCTGATGGGGACCCTCTCCTGATTGGGGCCTTCCTCTGATGGGGACCCTCTCTTGACTGGGCCTTCTCCTGATTGGGGCCTTCCTCTGATGGGGACCCTCTCTTGACTGGGCCTTCTCCTGATTGGGGCCTTCCTCTGATGGGGACCCTCTCTTGACTGGGCCTTCTCCTGATTGGGGCCCTCTCTTGACCATGCCCTCTCCTGATTGGGGCCCTCCTATGATGGGGACCCTCTCTTGACGGGGCCTTCCCCTTCCCTTTACTCAAGACTGGCCGTACTCTTCCTTTGCTTTTGTGAAGCGCCTCGTGGTTTTAATCTTGAGAGGTGATAAATAAAATATTTTCTTTCTTTCTTTTAGAACAAATTCATTATAGACGTTTTTTTAAGATGGATCCACTGATATCCAAATAAATTAAATGCAGAATAGTTGCCGTTTTTAAAGAAACACTTCTGTTTATATTTATTTATTTGGCAGACGCTGTTATCCAAAATGACGAACAATTGTTAACCGATAGGGCATGTTGTGATCTGTGAGGGAAACCAGAGTACCCGGAGGAAACCCGCGCATGCATGGGGAAAAGATGCAACTCCACTCAGAAAGGCCGCAGCCGAGGTTCGAACCTGCAACCTTCTTGCTGCGAGGCAACAGTGCTAACGACTGCGCCACCATGCAGCCTCTTCCATAAAGCCATACTAGTATAAGTAATATTAACCTTCAACCTCTATGAGTAAATCCTGACTTCTTTCATAATTAACACATGAAACCATTCAAACTTATAAATTAACATGCAAGTAGGTTGAATTTCAACATATGAAAGAAAGATCTGCTGTTTTAATTTGCTTGAAACCCAGGGACAAACAGGTTGTAGCAGGAACTAATGCAAATGAGTTTAGTTTGTGTGCGTCTGTTTCACCTCCCACGGCCCTCCCTCTGATGCTCTGCACATAGCGCAGCAGGTCTTAACTGGTGGGGGCAGCATTGGTGAGTAATTCCTCTCCACAGGGGCTTCAGCACTCCCACATCTCTCTCCTCTCAGTGACCAAACAGCTATGCAACACCAAGTGAACCCTTTGTGCCAGATCTAGCTTTTCCTTTAATTTGATTTCGTCTCTGTTGTAATTTTCCTTTATTAGATAAATCAGGATCTTAACAGTAACGTTTGCATAAACTTCACTTTTTGCTTCTCTAGATCTTCCTGTGGGAGCAGAATCTGGAGCGCTTCCACATCGATCTCTTCCGCTGTCGCTGCTATCTGGCCAGCCTGCAAGGCGGAGAGCCTCCCAATCCCAAACGCCTCCTGGGTTTCGCTTCGCGTCCAACCAAAGCGGCCATGGGTCGCCTTGGCATCTTTTCAGTATCTTCCTTCCACGCACTGGTACGGTTAAGAATAAAACTCGTACATAAACACAAATCACACACATGCGCCACGCTGCCCTTTCTAGGCTTTCCCCCAAGTAGCCTCGTGGTACTTTTACTCCTAAAGTACTTCAGAGTTCCCTGGTCTGAAACTCAAACACGCTTCACGTGTCTTTGCACGTTCCAGTTTCGTTCCCAACTGCCGACCCTCTTTCTGACAGCGCAGCTTGGAGAGTGGGCGTGTTTATGTGGCTGTGAATGCCTTGTCACAGACGCCTGCTACAAACAGGAATTTCTGAGTGCCCAACAATTCTTCACACTAATCCAAACATTACCCGCTTAATGTAAAGTGAAAACATGTATTTTTTATTATTATTATTTTTTGGCGCACAGGAAACCACCTTTGTATTTACTCACACAGAAATGTCCATAGCTCAGACTTACACACACACAGATATCAGCATTCAAGACGTGCATGAAGACACTTTTCTTCAAAGTTTGAGATGAAAATCAAAACAAAACATTCCTTCAGGTTGTTCTCTCATGATGCTGCAGACAGCCGGGTGATTAGCTCGGAGTTTCACACCATGGTAGGTGGATTAGCAGAACTCCAAGAATGTACAAACTGAAACATCAACATGGAAAGAATGATTTAGATTGACAAACCATAACATTTAAACCACTAAGAGAACAAGGGTGTGGCATTACCTCATCACAGCGGCATCTGCCAAAGACAGAGGTTTATAAGAAATGAACGTGTTCGGTGTTTTGCGTGATGCCTTAATTACTGCAGATGCGATTTCTATTTCTTTACCCAAACACTGGGTTCATACTTTCCCCCCATGACCCGTCAACATCAGCTTGATTCCCTTCAGCTTTGTTTTTAACTGGAACATGAGCACCGTCTCACTGAAAAAACATGTTCATGAATCCTCTGAGGGACATGACAAAGAAAACAAGGTGTTGGCATGACCTGCAAGTTCACACAGACTCAGACAGATGTGTGAAAATGATGAGTGAATCGAGAAGAACTCTGTGACCTGATGGATGCTTTGTGGCATCGATGATTTAAAGGGGACAAATGGGACAAAACTCACCTTTAGGATTTTTTTTTGCTGCCATGTGGGTTTCTACTGCCTCCATAAATACTCCAAACCTGAAAAAACTGTGTATTCATTTTCTAGAAATGATGTGCTTACAATGCATTGTTTCAAAAAGTCCCCTCACAACGTAGAAACCATATCTCACGTGCAAGAAGGAGTTGCTGCTGGTGAAGCAGCAGCTCTACTCTGAGCCCCTCTTGGTTACTGGAGCTTCTCAGCTTGTAACAACCAAGTGGGGGGTGAGTGGGCGTGGCCAGCTCTAGCTTGTTTTCTTAAAGTGACAGAGCCCTGAAATGGCTCATTCTGGAAGGTGCTGAAAATGTCAAGAATAAAACTGCTAACTTCACTTTAAGTAAAAGGAACTTCATGCAAAGAACTTCACAAACATGTTTGTTAGATTATAGGACTATTTTAACAAAGAAAAGAAGTCTGAACTGTTATAACAGGAAAAGCAGGACCATCACGGTTGTGCTTTAGAATATCAGTCATGAAAAGCAGACCAGAGTGATGAGCGAGATGCGTGAAAAGATTTCTGAGGCTTAATTTCGAACCTGATGGGAAGTTGGTGACTGGTTTTCCACACGCACACAGAAACCCACAGCATTTTAGTATTTTTGTGACTGGTGGATCAATACAGACTTGGTTTGTAAGCATCCCTGAGGCACTTTCCCACAAACAGGCTTAACACTCTCTGCCCCCTGCATGTTGTTGCATTGCTGTCTACTCTTGCTTCCTTTGTCCATCTATCTCCCTCAGTTTCCTCAGTAATAAATTACTTTGCTCCTTTTTTAAATGATAACTTTAATATTAATTATCTGATGTTCATGGAATTACAATCTTAGGTCAAAGAGACAGTATAAGAAAACAGACAGACAAAATAAAAAGAATTAAACAGACAGTTGACTTTCTTATATATGCAGTGAGCGCATGATCAGTGACTGCTGAACAGACACTAATGCAGCCTCTGTGTGTGCATACATGTGGTGAAAAAGCACAGTGATGTTGAGCTGCTCATAGTTCAGCATTCGCGTGTGAATTAACCCAGAAATGCCAAAAGCTTCTCTGTCTGTGGTCTGGTAGTAGGTCACAGAACAGGATGTGGGGTTGAATGCTTTTCATATATATATATATATATATACTGAATGTCTGAAAATGTGTTTAATTTGCCTGAGCCATTGCCGTTTACACATACTGATCCTCCTTGAACCGTCACCTTATCGTGGTGGAGGAGTTTGAGTGCCCTAATGATCCTAGGAGCTATGTTATCTGGGGCACTTAGTGCCCCTGGTAGGGTCTCCCATGACAAATTGGTCTTAGGTGAAGGGTGAGACAAAGAACGGTTCGAAGGATCTTTCATGGCGGTTAAAACGAAGAGTCGGAGTACCCGGCCCGGAGGGTTACCGGGGTCCCACCCTGGAGCCAGGCCTGGGGTTGGGGCCCGTGAGCGAGCGCCTGGTGGCCGGGCTTTCGCCCATGGGACCCGGCTGGGCCCAGCCCGAACCGGATACATGGGCTCGTCCAACTGTGGACCCACCACCCGCAGGAGGAACATGAAGGGTCCGGTGCAATGCGAATCGGGTGGCAGACCAAGGCGGGAGCCTTGGCGGTCCAATCCCCGGACAAGAAAACTAGTTTTTGGGACATGGAACGTCACCTCGCTGGCGGGGAAGGAGCCGGAGCTTGTGGCAGAGGTTGAGCGGTACCGGCTAGATATAGTCGGACTCACCTCGACACATTGCATTGGCTCTGGAACCCGAGACCTGGAGAGGGGTTGGACACTCTACTTTGCTGGAGTTGCTCCGGGTGAGAGGCGGAGGGCTGGGGTTGGCTTTTTGTTAGCCCCGAGACTCTCTGCCTGTGTGTTGGGGTTTACCCCGGGGGACAAGAGGGTAGCTTTCTTGCGCCTTCGGGTCGGGGAACGGGTCCTGACTGTTGTTTGTGCTTATGGGCCAAATATCAGTTCAGAGTACCCACCCTTTTTGGAGTCCCTGGGACGAGTGCTAGATAGTGCTCCATCAGGGGACTCCATTGTCCTGCTGGGGGACTTCAATGCTCACGTGGGCAATGACAGCTTGACCTGGAGGGATGTGATTGGGAGGAACGGCCCACCTAATCTGAACTCGAGCGGTGTTTTGTTATTGGACTTCTGTGCAAGCCGCAGTTTGGCCATAACGAACACCATGTTCGAACATAAGGATGCCCACCGGTACACTTGGTACCAGGGCAGCCTAGGTCACAGGTCGATGATAGATTTTGTAGTCGTATCATCTGACCTGCGGCCGTATGTTTTGGACACCCGAGTGAAGAGAGGGGCGGAGCTGTCAACTGATCACCACCTGGTGGTGAGTTGGATCAGATGGCAAGGGAACATGCCGCGTAGACCTGGCAGACCCAAACGCATAGTGAGGGTCTGCTGGGAACGCCTGGCAGAAGAACCTGTCAAGACGGTCTTCAACTCCCACCTCCGGCAGAGCTTTGACCACGTCCCGAGAGCAGTGGGGGACATTGAGTCCGAGTGGGCCTTGTTCCACTCTGCGATTGTCGAGGCGGCTGTTGCTAGCTGTGGTCGTAAGGTGGCCGGTGCCAGTCGTGGTGGCAACCCCCGTACCCGCTGGTGGACACCAGAGGTTCGGGGAGCCGTCAGGCTGAAGAAGGAGGCCTACAGGGCGTGGCTGGTCTGTGGGTCTCCGGAGGCAGCAGACAGGTACCGGATAGCCAAGCGGAGTGCAGCAGTGGCAGTTGCCGAGGCAAAATCTCGGGCGTGGGAGGAGTTTGGTGAGGCCATGGAGAAAGACTATCGATCGGCTCCAAAGAGGTTCTGGCAAACTGTCCGGCGCCTCAGGAGAGGAAGGCAGCAACTCGCTCACACTGTTTACAGTGGGGATGGGGAGCTGCTGACGTCAACAGAGGCTATAGTCGGACGGTGGAAGGAATACTTTGAGGAGCTCCTCAATCCCACCAATGCGCATTCCGAGGAGGAACCAGAGCTGGGAGGCCTGGGGATGGACTGTCCGATCTCGGGGGCAGAAGTTGCTGAGGTAGTCAAACAACTACACAGCGGCGGAGCCCCGGGGGCGGATGAGGTTCGTCCTGGGTATCTCAAGGCTATGGATGTTGTAGGGCTGTCATGGTTGACACGTCTCTACAACATTGCGTGGTCATCGGGGGCAGTTCCTAGGGAGTGGCAGACCGGGGTGGTGGTCCCCATCTTTAAGAAGGGTGACCTGAGGGTGTGTTCCAACTATAGGGGGATCACACTCCTCAGCCTCCCTGGAAAGGTCTACTCCAAGGTACTGGAGAGGAGGGTCCGATCGATAGTTGAATCTCAGATAGAGGAGGAGCAATGTGGTTTTCGTCCTGGCCGTGGAACTGTGGACCAGCTCTATACCCTTGCAAGGGTGATGGAGGGGGCATGGGAGTTTGCCCAACCAATCCACATGTGCTTTGTGAATTTGGAGAAGGCTTATGACCGTGTCCCCAGGGGCACCCTGTGGGGGACGCTCCAGGAGTATGGGGTGGGTGGCTTTCTGTTAAGGGCCATTCAGTCCCTTTACCAGAGGAGCGTGAGTTTGGTCCGCATAGCCGGTAGTAAGTTGGACCTGTTGCCGGTGAGGGTTGGACTCCGCCAGGGCTGCCCTTTGTCACCGGTTCTGTTCATCACTTTTATGGACAGAATTTCTAGACGCAGCCGTGGTGTGGAGTGTGTCGAGTTTGGTGGCAGGAGAATCTCGTCTCTGCTTTTTGTGGATGATGTGGTCCTCCTAGCTTCATCCAGCTCTGACCTTCAGCTCTTGCTGTGTAGGTTCGCGGCCGAATGTGAAGCGGCTGGGATGAGGATCAGCACCTCCAAATCTGAGACCATGGTTCTCGACCGGAAAAGGGTGGCTTGCCACCTCCGGGTCGGGGGAGAGGTCCTACCTCAAGTGGAGGAGTTTAAGTATCTCGGGGTCTTGTTCACGAGTGAGGGTAGGAGGGATCGGGAGATCGACAGGCGGATTGGTTCGGCGTCTGCAGTGATGTGGACGCTGAGCCGATCTGTCGTGGGGAAGAGGGAGCTGAGCCAGAAAGCCAGGCTCTCGATCTACCGGTCGATCTACGTCCCAATCCTCACCTATGGTCATGAGCTTTGGGTAATGTCCGAAAGAACGAGATCGCGGATACAAGCGGCCGAAATGAGTTTCCTCCGTAGGGTGGCCGGGATCAGCCTTAGAGATAGGGTGAGGAGCTCGGACATTCGGGAGGGACTCGGAGTAGAACAGCTGCTCCTCCGGATCGAAAGGAGCCAGTTGAGGTGGTTTGGGCATCTGGTCAGGATGCCTCCTGGACGCCTCCCCGGGGAGGTGTTTCGGGCATGTCCTGCCGGCAGAAGGCCCCCGGGTCGACCCAGGACACGTTGGAGAGGTTACATCTCCAATCTGGTCCGGGAACGCCTTGGGGTCCTGCCGGAGGAGCTGGTGGACAAGGCCGGGGAGAGGACGGCCTGGAGCTCCCTAGTTGGGATGCTGCCCCTGCGACCCGGACCCGGATAAGCGGAGGAAGACGAAGACGAAGACGAAGACATACTGATCGGATTAGTTAACCTTATTTGAAGTGGCATGCAAACCAATTGCTGTTTAAAAAAGGCATCTTACATGAATGAATGCCTTTTCAGTTGTTTCTTGAGAAAAAAAACTCTGGCTTTGAGTCTTCCTCATTAGTATTCAGGGTATGTTAAGATCTTGCCTCCGATTGGCTAACAGCAACGCAACTCTTCCATTTCCTTTGTTCACTCTGCTATGTTGATGTTTGATCTACATATATAACCCAAGCCTGAAGGAGTTGTGCTATGTGGTGGAGTTGCTAATGCTAATGTTAGCATCTACTAGCCAAGGTGTGCTCTGCTGTCTCCTGGTTGCAAAATTCAACACCGCCTTCTGAATTTCAATAAAGTTTATCTAATTTTCCTAAAACTACAGACTAATAAAATGCAAGAAAGGAAAAAAAAGAAGAAAAACTGTCTTTTATATATATATGGAGCCTAAGTCTCCTCCCCTTCTGGTCAGCTCATGGGTCCCCGGAAGAACAAACTACAAAGCTACTCCCTGTAGTACGCCTCTCAAGATAAAAATCACAAAGCACTTCACAAAAAACAAAGAAATTTAAATATAAAAAGATTTCAAAAAAATTATTAAAAATATGTTTCAAATAAGAAAAAATAAATAAAAATTGTGATAAAAAATGTAAGGAAATGGTGAGAGAGAGAATGAATAGGAAAGAGGGAAATCAGTGGAGTGCACCTCCACCCAGACGCAGACACTTTTGGTATTTGATTCAGATGTTTTCTGTGATTGTCTCTTTCGCAGGTCTCTGCCCGCACAGAAAATAGCATCAGGAGGAGAAGTCAGCCTTTGCCCCGTAACTTCAGCAAACGGCGTAGCCGTTTCTCCTCCCTCTGGGGTCTGGACACCGTCTCCAAGAGGAAGATCAAGGCGCACCCTTCAATCGAGCAGGTTTTCACAGTTTACTGTCTGATTTAAGAATGACAACAACAGAATTTCGGTTAGATTTTTAAACAGCTTCATAGTTACGAAACTAATATTAGACCAATGCTTTAAAACATGCAATCATCTGAATTAATGTGGTTTCAGGTGTTTAAGGATCGTATCGAGCCCGTGAGAAAACCACTAGAGAGCATGTTTGAGGACTCCGCCAGTGAGAAATCAGTAAGTCTCAAACAACTTTATTACTCATTAGTGCCTCGACAATAAAACTCTACCTTTTAACAGAGACCTATACGATTTCAACAAATTGATGTAAAATCAGGAGTTTTAGTACTTGTTATTAAAAGAGTGAGAAAAGGTTAGAGCTCGATATTGAAGAAGATACAAGCCAGTTGGTGTCATCATAAGTAGGTCACATTTTCTTTTGTCACTCTTCCCATCCTGCAGCCAAAGTGAGATAAAAAAGGACACGACAGCCAGTGTTTGTGTCTGTACAGTAATGCTCTTCCCAAGGCTGAAACACAAACTTCCTTTGGTATTTGCTACAGAGAATCAGAGCTCTGCTAGCTTGAGGCTAATCACTCGTCATTGTTTGCCTTTCTTGTAAACCAAGAGAAAGACCACTGGAGCATCTGATGAACCCTTTGTGCTTGCATAATGAGATAGCGGCTTGCAAAGACCCCGAGGCCAGAAGCAGAGCTGGATTTTCCACCTCCCTTCACCCAACTGAGATGGCTTTGGTGCTCCGGCTCTTAATTTGGCAGGTTATCTGGGGAACGCACAAAATCCATGCACCCTTTTGCACCAGCGAGCATTTCTTTGAGGTCACTCTCAAGCACTCGCTCTAATGTTTTTAGACATCGGCTTTTCCTCTCGATGAGGAGCGATCTGAGAATTTAGCAAACTTATGAAACTTTAAAAATTGTCACATCTTTTCGCTAAACCACTAAACAGCTGTGGGTTTCCAAACCTTCATCAGTAAATACAGATGGTCAAATAAAAGTCATACATTGGCATTGAAACGTCCCTGCTTATTTTATTCGTTTTAGCCTGAGGCGATTCCATCTTTATCAGAGTCCATCAAGTAGAGAAAAAATCCTTTCTGCTAATTCCACTGAGACAAATTCGATCCGATCTTTGCGGATCATTAGCTCAGATTATGCAGACATTAGCTACTAGGACCTGGAGGTTTCACACCATCTGTGCGCTCACGTGTCCGCTGTTTTGACAGTAATTCATAAAAAACTGAAAATTAAATTTTAACCAAGAGAACTGGCTAAGCTCAGGTCACCACAAGGCTAAGAGTAAACTTGTGGTATTTTAACTCAAAGATAAACATCCTGTTGGTTCTGCAAGGACAGATAACTCTGTTTTTAATGAGAACTGATGAAAAGGTGAAGTGGACGTGGGAGAGGAGAGCCAAGCCTCTGTCTGAACCCTGAAAACTAGAGCAATATAGCTCATCCCCCAGTGGCAGGTTGAGAGATCAATTTTCTTCCACCCATACTTTGACTCTGCAGACAGATGACCGTAAAGGACCGCGTCGGGAAAAGAATGCCGCAATTTGTGGCGATGTAAAGTAGAAAAAATGTTGCAAACTCAGGAAGAAAATGCAAACATACAGATGTACCAACGCGATTGGGTTCACATCCTATAGACTTGTCCGAACTGCGATTCTACATTTGTTCCTGGGAATCCTTTTGTTAGCTTAGGAGGGAATGAGAGACCACAAGATTTTATTACACCTCCTGGAAGCCCTTCATCCCCCCAGCAGAGGAATCCCAGATAGGCCAGGAGGCAAGCCAGATGGTGCCGAGCAACCCTGGGAGTTCAGGGAGTTGGGGGAGGTACTGGTTATCCCCCCCCCCCCCCCCCCCCCCCCCCCCCCAGCCTGTTGTCTGTCTGGGAAAATGTGTCTTTTTCTTTGCGTATCCATGTTTTTTTGTGTGCTTGCTTCTATATATAGCTCACCCATAAAACCCTAACGTTTTTTTCTGTTGCACGGATTCAAACTCACACAAGTTTTGGTCGATTTCAGCGGAGACTGCACAGCATAACTGTTGACCGTCAGCAGATTACACAGTTTGAAGGGAAATAAAAGGAGGGGGAGTTGATGGAGTGATGCACAGATAGGGGGAAAGGGCAGCAGAAGGAGACGCAGTGATTAATGGAGGGGTCGGCACGATGAAAGAATGAATGTCTGGATGCCGTTACTTGATAGCAGCAGATGCATTACGGGTCAAACTGATGTAATGTCAACAGACTGTTGAGAAAGGCCAATGAATTCACAGATCATAGTTTTGAATTTAGATTTATAATAATAGCCTCATTTTGTCTGTTTTCACTCATCACGTGCGTACGTGTTGGATTTTCAGAAGAAAACCGAAGACTCCGTGAAAAGTCTTTCCAGCCCAAATGTGGACCGTGACATTTGGGTTCCCCATCAGCTGAAGCCATCCTGGGTGTGTTTGCCTAACAACCAGCCCGTCCTGGTCGTCATACAGCCGGGTGAGACAGCAGTGGATGTCCTGAGCTGCATCTGTGAGGTAGGACAGTGATGGGAGTGTCACTTTAATCACTATATTGGACTGTAGTATTAGCTATGTCTCTTGTAATTACAAGTCAAGAGCAAGAAACTGCTTCTTCAGTTTTCCCGCAATTTGCCAGTTCCTGTGCATTCAGTTACTTTCTTGTGTGTTGACACATGCATGTAAACACCTCAGAGAGAATACACCTCTAGATTTTAGTGTAACTCCACTTTTTTCATTAAAGTTGTGTGTATTGTCTTCTCTTCCAGATCCATAAGTTTGAGCCCTCCTGTCACTACCTACGAGTGAAAGTTTGGGTTGACAACCAGATGCTCTTTTATGTT